AGATACACGACCAACCTAACCAACCCTACCTAACCTAACCTAACCTATCTTTATAATTTAGGTTAGGTTAGGTAGCCGAAAAAGTTAGGTTAGGTTAGGTTAGGTAGGTTAGGTAGTCGAAAAACAATTAATTCATGAAAACTTGGCTTATTAGGCAAATTGGGCCTTGCATAGTAGGCCGAGAAGTGCGTTCTGGCTACTAGGTACGACATATATATATATATATATATATATATATATATATATATATATATATATATATATATATATATATATATATATATATATATATATATGCAAACAAGCCTGAATGGTCCCCAGGACTATATACAACTGAAAACTCACACCCCAGAAGTGACTCGAACCCATACTCCCACAAACTGGTATGTACAGGGACGCCTTAATCCGCTTGACCATCACGACCGGACTAAGGAAGTGATAGCCGAGGCTATATGAACCACTTCCCCGCCGGCACTCGGATGGTAATCTTGGGCATAGCATTTTATCAAATCACCTCATTCTTTGGGCACACGTGAGGAACACAAATGCAAACAAGCCTGAATGGTCCCCAGGACTATATACAACTGAAAACTCACACCCCAGAAGTGACTCGAACCCATACTCCCACAACTGGTATGTACAGGGACGCCTTAATCCGCTTGACCATCACGACCGGACTAAGGAAGTGATAGCCGAGGCTATATGAACCACTTCCCCGCCGGCACTCGGATGGTAATCTTGGGCATAGCATTTATCAAATCACCTCATTCTTTGGGGCACACGTGAGGAACACAAATGCAAACAAGCCTGAATGGTCCCCAGGACTATATACAACTGAAAACTCACACCCCAGAAGTGACTCGAACCCATACTCCCACAACTGGTATGTACAGGGACGCCTTAATCCGCTTGACCATCACGACCGGACTAAGGAGTGATAGCCGAGGCTATATGAACCACTTCCCCGCCGGCACTCGGATGGTAATCTTGGGCATAGCATTTTATCAAATCACCTCATTCTTTGGGGCACACGTGAGGAACACAAATGCAAACAAGCCTGAATGGTCCCCAGGACTATATACAACTGAAAACTCACACCCCAGAAGTGACTCGAACCATACTCCCACAACTGGTATGTACAGGGACGCCTTAATCCGCTTGACCATCACGACCGGACTAAGGAAGTGATAGCCGAGGCTATATGAACCACTTCCCCGCCGGCACTCGGATGGTAATCTTGGGCATAGCATTTTATCAAATCACCTCATTCTTTGGGGCACACGTGCCCCAAAGAATGAGTGATTTGATAAAATGCTATGCCCAAGATTACCATCCGAGTGCCGGCGGGGAAGTGGTTCATATAGCCTCGGCTATCACTTCCTTAGTCCGGTCGTGATGGTCAAGCGGATTAAGGCGTCCCTGTACATACCAGTTGTGGGAGTATGGGTTCGAGTCACTTCTGGGGTGTGAGTTTTCAGTTATATATATATATATATATATATATATATATATACAATGAAAGAGAAAGAAACATATATATATATTATATTAGGCCTAAGATAGCGTATATTAGGTCTAGGATTGCATGGATAGGCTAGTTATAGGCTCTTTAGTTATATTTCAAATTACTATATTTAGAATAATACCATTTGGGATAATTGCATCATACCTTTCTAACCATAAATTGTTAAATCCAATATTTGTTCATTAGTATTTTTTCCTCTTAACATATTTAATTATAGTTGTTATATAGTTTAGTTATAATTATATATAAGTTGTTTATTGAATTTTAGCCACTTCTTCAAAGACTTTTTTTTTCTCATAATTGCAGTTCGTACACTGAAGACATTCTTAAGATCTCTATGACTCAAGTTCAAGTTCAAGTATGTTTATTGAGATAAGCAAGAAATACATCTCAAAGGGATAGAGTAGCTTAGGCTATTTCTACCCCCCCCCCCCCTCTCTCTATGACTCATTATGATCTAGTCTGAAGACTATCTAAGCTCCTCAGTTCTGCTGCTGTTGTTCATCTTGAACCTTGCGTCTGTGTCTTGTTGATTCCTCTCCGTATCTCTATCATTCGTGGTGGTGTTTCACGCTTTTGCTTCTCTCGTCTAGTGGTGAGGTTTCCTTCCTCGTTCATCAGGTCCCTCAGCTCCGGAACCATCTTTGTTCCGTGTCTTAGGACCTTGTTTTTTTTTGTTTTTATTATTTTCTTCAGATAGGAGTTTCATGCAGTCCAAGTTCATGAAGGTAATCTAAATATTTAGCATTTTTGTTAAATTTATGATGATAATGTGTGCTTCTGCCGCTCGATTGGAGATTTTATCGACTTCCTGTCCATCTCCTTTCTAGACGCGGGAATCTGTCTGTTCTTTCCTGACGCGGGAATCTGTCTGTTCTTTCCTGATGCGGGAATCTGTCTCTTCTTTTCTGACGCGGGAATCTGTCTCTTCTTTCCTGACGCGGGAATCTGTCTCTTCTTTCCTGACGCGGGAATCTGTCTCTTCTTTTCTGACGCGGGAATCTGTCTCTTCTTTCCTGACGCGGGAATCTGTCTCCTCCTTTCCTGACGCAGGGAATCTGTCTCTCCTGACGCGGGAATCTGTCTCTCCTGACGCGGGAATCTGTCTCTCCTGACGCGGGAATCTGTCTCTCCTGACGCGGGAATCTGTCTCTCCTTCAACCTCTACTGATGTACTAGTGTTTACCATCTTGTTCTAAGTTTCAACACTACTTGTTTCACTTTTCCCACCTTAATTCTCCTGCTACGTCGTTCGTTTTGGTATCATTGTGTTCGCAATAGAATTCCTTACAGCGGGTATATGCATATAGGGTCTAAAAGCGGGTATATGCATATAGGGTCTAAAAGCGGGTATATGCATATAGGGTCTAAAAGCGGGTATATGCATATAGGGTCTAAAAGCGGGTATATGCATATAGGGTCTAAAAGCCCGGCGTGACTCCCCACAACAAAGCCTAAATTCGGCCAACTTACCCCTGAGCGAGCGCCAATTTGCAGACCTGAAGCCTAATGTAACTCCTCGTTCAGTTTGATATTATAAATTTTCGTGTTACGTATTTCATTTTGGTATCAAATTGTTCGCAAAATAAAGGCGCGTATTTTAAAACTAGTCCCATAATAATAGAACAATAAATGGAATTTTAACAAATATTTTAACTTTTTGGATTTTAAAATAAATAATTTTATAAAAATTATTTATATATTTCTAGTGTTCTGGCACCAATTTTCGTGTTAGGTCTTTCATTTTGGTATCAAATTGTGCGCAATCTAAAAGCGCTCATTTTGAAGCCTCTCCCAGATTGACGGGATAAAATTTCAATTTTTAATAAATATTTTAATGAGTGACTCGCGACCTCGTCACCCGAGACGACTCAGAGAGAAAAATGAGTGTCTACGGAAGGGAGAGCAACGGAGTGCGATAGTGCTAATTAGTATGCAGTTGCCTGTGTTGAGGTCTAGCAACCAGTTTTTTGCAGACTGTGTTGAGTGCATCTCAGTCTTCCTCTGTTCTGAATATTCTCATTAGTTTTGCGTCGTTAACAAACAGTGACAGGAAGGAGACTGTGTGTGTGTGTGATGGCTTCCGCCCGCCTGCTGTTCCATCACCTCTCTATTTTCTCCTTTCAACTTTCCCTCGCGTTCTGCGCCTCCTTCCCTTTCACTCTTTTTTTACTTATCCTTCCCTCTATTATTTTATTTTCAGTTCCCTTCCGTCTTTCTTCTCTTATCTCCGTCTCACTCCTCCATCTTGCTTACTTTTTCCTCATATAAACCCCTTGTCTGTCTCTCTGTCTGTCTGCTCTCTCTCTCTCTCTCTCTCTCTCTCTCTCTCTCTCTCCTCTCTCTCTCTCTCTCTCTCCTCTCTCTCTCTCTCTCTCTCTCTAAGCTTCACGCTACACATCTTTTAATCACTTCTGCTCTGCCTTTTGTGGTGGAGGGGGGAGGGGGGGGGGGGACCCGAAGCCACCCGTCTCGCTAACCCAACACCACCAACAACAGCATCATGGATCAGGAACATATATATATATATATATATATAATATATATATATATATATATATATATATATATATATAATATATATAAACTTTCTTTCTTTACTTTAAACAAAGTAAACTATCTTTACTAGAAATCCTAGTAAACAACACAGAAATCATCGATAGATACAGCGATAGCAGGCGGCTTGACGTTTGCGAGGCACTACACATCAAGAAGTCAACACCAGCAATCAACAGCCAATTATTGCACAACTATATTCTACCCACCTCAAGACTCCGCTCCAATATAGAAGCATCAAGAAATATGGACCAATAGGCTTTCTACAAACACTTCTATTCAATACCCATTGTTTTCTGTTCTGTCTTGTGTTGATACTTTTTAATACCCTATTAATATCCCCTGTTCTGTCTTGTGTTAATGCCACATCATCCTTCCCACCTCACTCAAATGTAGATATAATATCAGAGAGACGTAAGTTCTAATCAGTTGTGTATTTGTGAAGTCTTTGAAAATGTAATAAGTTTTACGAAACGCGCCCGTGTCGCGTCAGACTAGAAATAAAAATGAATTTTGGAGAAGTGATTTTTGATTTACCTCCAACAGTGAAGCGTAATGTACGAAAGATGAGAAAATTCGTGTTAGAATTATTAATCTTACTTTTTCGGTCATATTTAATAATATATATATATATATATATATATATATATATATATATATAATATATATATATATATATAATATATATATATATACACAGCGAGTGGGATATATTCCCCCACTTTTCGGTGTATACCTCCCCCACCCCCCAAATTTACTTTACTCCTGTAGTGTATTTATACTGGTATACTGTATACAGTATACTATTACGGTGACTGGTAGCCCTTCAAAGGTTGTCGGGTCTCGAACCCAGCACTAAACAATAGCTACGAATCTTACACTTCATGTCAACAGAAATAAATAGTCACAAGTCAGTCGACTACATGTGATCCATGTCCTGTGTGCGCATGTGCGCGTGCGTGCGTGCGTGCGTGCGTGCGTGCTGTTCGTTGTAGCCAATCAGAGCGTCGGTATGAATATCAATCATAGAATAGAGGCTCCGGGATTGAGACACGTCAAGGCTCAAGGTCTTGAGGGACGGGTGGATGATGGGACGGGTGGATGACGAGGACGGCTGGATGACAAGGACGGGTGCATGACGAGGACGGGTGCATGATGGAGACTGGAGGACAAGGACGGGTGCATGACGAGGACGGGTGCATGACGAGGACGGGTGGATGACGAAGACGACTGGATGACAAGGACGGCTGGATGACGAGGACGGCTGGATGACAAGGACGGCTGGATGACGAGGACGGCTGGGATGACAAGGACGGCTGGATGACGAGGACGGCTGGATGACAAGGACGGGTTGACGAGGACGGGTGGATGACGAGGACGGGTGGATGACGAGGACGGCTGGATGACAAGAGACGGGTGCATGACGAGGACGTGGATGACGAGGACGGGTGGATGACGAGGACGGCTGGATGCCAAGGACGGGTGCATGACGAGGACGACTGGATGACAAGGACGGTGTGGATGACGAGGACGGCTGGATGACAAGGACGGGTGGATGACGAGGACGGTTGGATGACGAGGACGGGTGGATGACGAGGACGGCTGGATGACAAGGACGGGTGGATGACGAGGACGGCTGGATGACGAGGACGGCTGGATGACAAGGACGGGTGGATGACGAGGACGGCTGGATGACAAGGACGGGTGGATGACGAGGACGGGTGGATGACGAGGACGGGTGGATGACGAGGACGGGTGGATGACAAGGACGGGTGGATGACGAGGACGGCTGGATGAGGGACGAGGGTGGATGACGGGACGCTGGATGCTGGATGACGAGGACGGCTGGATGACGAGGACGGGTGGATGACAGAGGACGGGGGGATGACGGGATGGGCGGGATGGGGGGGGGCGGGTGATGACGGGAGAGAATGGCTGACGGGTGGATGACAAGGACGGGTGGATGACGAGGGACGGCTCGATGACGAGGACGGGTGGATGATGGGAGGTGGATGACGAGGACGGCTGGATGACGAGGACGGGTGGATGACGAGGACGGGTGGATGACGAGGACGGCTGGATGACGAGGACGGCTCGATGACGAGGACGGCTCGGATGGACGAGGACGGCTGGATGACAAGAAACGGCTGGATGACGAGGACGGGTGGATGACGAGGACGGCTGGATGACGAGGACGGCTGGATGACGAGGACGGGTGGATGACGAGGACGGGTGGATGACGAGGACGGCTGGATGACGAGGACGGGTGCATGACGAGGACGGCTGGATGACGAGGACGGGTGGATGACGAGGACGGCTGGATGACGAGGACGGGTGCATGACGAGGACGGGTGCATGACAAGGACGGGTGGATGACAAGGACGGCTGGATGACGAGGACGGGTGGATGACGAGGACGGGTGCATGACGAGGACGGGTGGATGACGAGGACGGGTGGATGACGAGGACGGGTGGATGACGAGGACGGCTGGATGACGAGGACGGGTGGATGACGAGGACGGGTGCATGACGAGGACGGCTGGATGACAAGGACGGGTGGATGACGAGGACGGGTGGATGACAAGGACGGGTGCATGACGAGGACGGCTGGATGACGAGGACGGCTGGATGACGAGGACGGGTGGATGACGAGGACGGGTGGATGACGAGGACGGGTGCATGACAAGGACGGCTGGATGACGAGGACGGGTGCATGACGAGGACGGGTGCATGACGAGGACGGGTGGATGACGAGGACGGGTGCATGACGAGGACGGCTGGATGACGAGGACGGCTGGATGACGAGGACGGGTGCATGACAAGGACGGCTGGATGACGAGGACGGGTGCATGACAAGGACGGCTGGATGACAAGGACGGGTGGATGACGAGGACGGCTGGATGACGAGGACGGGTGCATGACGAGGACGGCTGGATGACGAGGACGGGTGCATGACGAGGACGGGTGGATGACGAGGACGGGTGGATGACGAGGACGGGTGGATGACGATGACGGGTGGATGACGAGGACGGGTGGATGACGAGGACGGGTGGATGGCGATGACGGGAGGGTTGATGGGACGGGTGGACAGTTATATTCATCTTAAACGGTGTAGTGTATTTGTCAGTTTTTTGTCCATAATATGTGGTTGTTTTAGGAGGAGGGGGGGAGGGGGGTTGACGGTGTACTCACCTATTTGTGCTTGCGGGGGTTGAGCTCTGGCTCTTTGGTCCCGCCTCTCAACTGTCAATCAACTGGTGTACAGGTTCCTGAGCCTATTGGGCTCTATCATATCTACACTTGAAACTGTGTATGGAGTCAGCCTCCACCACATCACTACCTAATGCATTCCATTTATCAACCACACTGACACTATAAAAAAATAATTTCTAATATCCACACAATGTGTGTGTGTGTGTGTGTGTGTGTGTGTGTGTGTGTGTGTGTGTGTGTGTGTGTTGTGTGTGTGTGTGTGTGTGTGTGTGTGTGTGTGTGTGTGTGTGTGTGTGTGTATGTGTGTGTGTGTGTGTGTGTGTGTGTGTGTGTGTATGTGTGTTCTCAGCAACAACACACACATAAGAAACTGGCTGGATAGGTTAAATCTTAATATTGCAGCTGTAATGGGTGCGTGCGGGGTGTGGGCGGCATGGGCGAGGCACTGTAGAGGGCGGGTGTGGGTATAGAAGCAAGAGGGGCAGGTGGGTGGGTATGGCTGGGATAGGGATAGTAGGTGGGTCTCAGGTGGGGGGGGGCAGGAAACTGTCATAATTCCTGATGAATATGGGAGAACAGCTGTTTGTGAGGGCGGGAGCGGGGGAATGGGGGATATGGAGAGATAGGGGGATAGTGAGGGATGGGTGGGATATGGAGAGATGGTGGGATAGATGGGGGGGGGGGGGTAGAGGGATGGGGGGGATGGATATGGAAGGATGGGGGATATGGATATGGAGAGATGGGTGGGATAGTGAGGGATGGGTGGGATATAGAGGGATGGGTGGATATGGAAGGATGTGGGGGATATGGAGAGATGGGTGGGATAGTGAGGGATGGGTGGGATATAGAGGGATGGGTGGATATGGAAGGATGTGGGGGATATGGAGAGATGGGTGGGATATGGAAGGATGGGTGGGATATTGAGGGATGTGGGGGATATAGAGGGATGGGGGGATATGGAGGGATGGGGGATATGGAGGGATAGGGGAATATGAGGGATTTGTGGATATGGAAGGATGTGGGGGATATGGAGGGATAGGGGAATATGGAGGGATGTGTGGGATATGGAAGGATGTGTGGGATATGGAAGGATGTGGGGGATATGGAGGGATAGGGGAATATGGAGGGATGTGTGGGATATGGAAGGATGTGTGGGATATGGAAGGATGTGGGGGATATGGAGGGATGTGTGGGATATCGAGAGATGGGTGGGATATGGAGGGATAAAGAGGGGATATGAAGGGATGGGAGGGGGAAATAGAGGTCTTCAACGTCTCCTCTCGAATAAGACATTGTATTTTGACGTCAAAATCCCCCACCGTCAAAATATGATGCACTATCATTGTTGCTCGCTAATTTGGACGGGCTGTTTCGTTTTCTATGCGTAGGTTCATCGGTTAGGACAGGTTAGGTTCGGGTAATTTAGTACAACCTTTTTTTGACGTGCCAACTGGAGAGGACGAGTTGAGGCGGGATATATAGATGAAGTAACAGGCTATATAACGCACGAAGGAACTCACAACACATTCCGTTTTCTGTATATTACGTTTTCTGTACATCCCGTTTTCTGTTCATACAAGGGTCTTCGGGCTGAGTAAATTTTCTCCAGCCTAACCTATCCTAACCTAACCTATCCTACCTAACCTATCCTAACCTAACCTATCCTAACCTAACCTATCCTAACCTAACCTATCCTAACCTAACCTATCCTAACCTATCCTATCCTAACCTAACCTAACCTATCCTAACCTAACCAGAATAGAGAGATACACACCTCATACATAGCAACATTTTTTTGACAGCATAATAACTCCTTAATTTTATCCCGGCTCGGGTTTTGGATTCCACAGTGAGCTTATAGAATCCTAACTGTGGATTCCACAGGGAGCTTATAGTAGCCCAGTGTCGTGTTCTTCCCACTCTGACTACCATCTTGGACTGCCTTGGAGCAGCCTGAGGGCCACAATATTCCCGGAACATCTTACAAAATCTCGGAGACTTGAGGCAAAGTGAAATTCACACCAGTTGCTCCATCTACCATTCATTCTATTATGCAGGAAGAACCGCACGTCTATGGGTCATCCAATAATGTTAGCAGACTTCTAGATGTTACCACTGCTAGGCTTAGGCTCGGCTACAAGTACCTCTGGCAGTTTGTAACATCTGATGATGTAGATCTGACTAAATGTAAACTCTGTCAGCAGAACTATTCGCATACTTCGCGTCATTATTGTATATATATGTGTACATGTATATGAAACATTACCAATTATGTAACTAGCTTCAAAAGAAAGAAATTGAGTTGAATTGCTGACCTCTTCCCTCTCTCTCTCTCTCTCTCTCTCTCTCTCTCTCTCTCTCTCTCTCTCCTCCTCTCCTCTCTCTCTCTATCTCTCTCTCTCTCTCTCTCTCTCTCTCTCTCTCTCTCCTCTCTCTCTCTCTCTCACTCTCCTCCTCCTCTCTCCTCCTCTCTCTCCCATCCTCTCTCTCCTCGTCTCTCTCTCTCCTCTCTCCTCCCTCTCCTCTCCTCCCTCACACTCTCTTCTACCTCCCTCTCGTCTCTCTCTCTCTGTATCGTCTCGGTGAATGTAAGGAATCAGGAGTGAAAAATGATCATTTGTGGGAGGAACAATTCAATTACCTGCCAATAGAGACAATTAATTAAGAAATGGCAACCGCCTTGGGATCTGGGGTGGTGAGGAAGGGGTAGAAGGAGAGAGGGGGATGGGAGGGGGGAGGGGAGGTAGGTGAGAAGGGATGGGAGGAATGTGAGGGAGGGGGGAGGAAAGGAAGCGAAGAAGAGAGAAGGAAAATAATGGAATGGGATAAAGATCTATGCATGTGGGATAAAACAAGGGAGGGGTATAAGGGGAGAGCAACAGGGGGGAAAGGGAGGGTGGGTGAGGTGAAGGGGGGGGGGTGTAGGAGTCAATCAACAAGTAGAGCCATTGTGGAGTACCTCACGGCTCTCCTGTGGCCCCTTTTGAGCGCCCCCCTGTGGCCAGCAGGGAGAGGGGAGGGAGGGAGAGGGGTAGGTGGAGCTGGCTACATGAGGGGTGTGTGGGAGGGGTATGTAACGGAATAGAGGAAGTGTGGCATATAGTGAGTAGATATAGTGGGGGGGGGGGTTATCAGGAACAACCAAGACCTCTGTGGTACTTCAGAACTCCTTTGTGACCCCTTGTGAGAGAGAGAGAGAGAGAGAGAGAGAGAGAGAGAGAGAGAGAGAGAGAGAGAGAGAGAGAGAGAGAGAGAGAGAGAGAGAGAGAGAATTTACCACCACAACCCGGTGCCTCCCGACTAATCTCGGCAATGATCTTGGCTGGGATTCTTGAAGCACTTAGGAGTGATTAGTACCTCTTATCTGGATTAAACAGTTTACGAGGCCCGACACGCCTACCAGGTCGCCCTCGACCCCCCCTGGCGAGGACGGAGCCGCCCCCTACCTCCCTACACTCTGCCACCCGGACATAGGCTCATATCTCCGCTACACAACCCGTCGGCGCCATATTGGCTCCGTCAATGGCGACTGGACGGTAGAGCGACGGTCTGGCTTCATGCAGGTCGAAGGCGTTCAATCCCCGACCGTCCAAGTGGTTGGGCACCATTCCTTTCCCGCGTCCCATCCCAAATCCTCAATCAAATCCCTTCCAAGTGCAATGTAGGCTAATGGCTTGGCGCTTTCTTGTGGAGGTAAGTCCACTACGGGCTCACCATAGCCCGTGCTACTTGGAACTTGTTCCGAGTAGCTGAATCTATAACAACAGCGCTTTCTCCTGATAGTTCCCGTCACCTGCGCATACGGAAGCTGCGCGCGCCACAGATGGCCGCCGTTTCGTCATACACAGATACATACATACATACATCCTTGTATACTGGTAATTACCTAAGTGTAGTTACAGGATGAGAGCTACGCTCGTGGTGTCCCGTCTTCCCAGCACTCTTTGTCATATAACGCTTTGAATGGAATTGGTTGGGTTAAACTCTAACAACCTAACAACTCTAACTGTGTGTGTGTGTGTGTGTGTGTGTGTGTGTGTGTGTGTGTGTGTGTGTGTGTGTGTGTGTGTTTGTGTGTGTGTGTGTGCTGCTCGGATCAGGATTGCAACTGAGCCGTTGTGCAACAACGGCTGTTTGCTGCAACCATTCCCACAGGATAGGGGGGGGGAGGGGGCTCATTAATGATTAATTACGAAACTTTAAAAGATTCATGTAAGGAGAAATAGTGGAAAAAAACAAGTCAAGAAACAGGAAAGAACAAAGTGAAGTTAATGAACACAAGAG